AGGGGCGGCGCGTCCGGTCCGCGGCTGCGCCCCCGCGTGCGGGCAGGGAGCAGGCCGGCGGCGCCCCGCTTGTCTTGGGAGTGGGGGCTGCACACGCCTGGGGCGCCCCGTTCCTTCGCTGGCCGGGGTGCGTGTGGCTGAGCGTGAGCAGCGCCCAGCTGGGCCCTGTGATGGCCACTCCGCGGGCAGATGAGGTACTGGGCTCGCGGACGCCCTGGACGCCCTCCCCAAGGCGCGGGGACCCAGACGCGGCGGGGCGCGGGGCTCGGGGTCCGCGGCGCTGGGGCCAAGCTCCGGTTCTGGGACCCCCGTCCCTCCCCCACACCGCCAGTGCCTCCCCTGAGACACTTACTTCTTTCAAAGATTTATCTATTTATGCATCTAAGAACTGGGGTGCAGGCCAGAGGTGGGGGGCGAGAGGACTCCCCAGAGACAGAGCGGGGAGCAGCGTGCGAAGGATGAGTAAATGGTCAGCAGCAGCCGGTGAAGACAGAACCCTGCTGGGCAGAAGGGCCCACCCGGCTCCACTGGGGCTGCGACAGGTGCACCCCAGCGCCTCCCCCCCACAGAGGGGCCCCACAGAGGGGAGGGAGGCGGCCTCAGGGCGAGAGAGGCCCCTCCAGGGGGGCAGGCTTTGTGGGCAGCTGTGAGGACGCTTCCCACCCCCCACCCAGAGTCTGGCCAGCCCCCCCGGGGGTCCCTTCCCCAGCAGTGGGGGGCGGCAGGCCAGAGCCTGGAGGCGCCTGAGCCCCCCCCCGCCCCCAAGCCCCCTCCCTGCGTGAGCGCCTCAAGCTTTTCAAACGGGCTCTGAGGTTTCCGTACTGCAGGACGTTTAGGAAACTGTTGGGGTGACACGTTGCACCTGTCATCCCGGAGGCTTCCCCGCTAATTCCTCCACTTTGGTGGCACAGCGGGCTGCATTAAGCCACCTGGCACTAAGCCCAGATACGCATCTGGGGCACCCCGGGACGCCCACTTCGGCCTCAGACCCCAGCCTCCAGCGGCCGCCCAGGCCGCCCACGGGGGGCCTCCCCACACTCGGGGGGCCGAGCCCCTTCCTGCCCCCGCACCTGCCTTTCCCAGCCAGGCTGGATGCGGCTGGGACTCTGGGTGCCCGTCGCGGTCACCTGCCAGGCCGGGGCGCGCCCAGGGCAGACGGGCTGGGCGCCCCTCGCTCGCTGGCCCGTGCTGACGGTGAAGGGGGCCGGTCGCGCGGCTGTGGGGGCGGCCCCTGCCTTTTGGGGGGGCCCAGCCAGAACCAGGCGACTGCAGTTTGGGCAAACGCCCGCTGGCCCTCTGAGACCCCAGCGAGCCCCCTCCGCGCTCTCGGGCTCCGGCCCCCAGCCGGGTCCTGTGAGCCCGCGCGCTCGGCTCTTAGATCCTGCAGGACAGACCGGGACAGCCGGCGGCCGAGGCCGCGCTGGGGGCCTGTTTCGGGCTCCCCAGCCCTGGGCGTTTCCGCCCCGCAAGGCTGTCCCTGCGCTGGGGTCTGCTCCGCGCCCTGGCCCGACCTGGGAGAGCCCGGGCGTGGGGGCGCGTCTCCCCATCCGCCACAGTTCCTGCCCCACCCCGTCTCCCGGAAAGTCCCGGGGGTGGGAGCCCCGAGGCTCGGGCCCGGCTGGGGGAGGCGAGGCTGTGGGGTCCACAAGCCGCCTAGCTAGCGCAGCCCCCACGATGAGGACGGGACTGGGGGTTCCCGGAAGGCGAGCTCGTGGCGGCCTGGGGAGCCGACCGGCGCCCCGCCCCTCCCCAGGCCCCACCCCAGGCCTTGTGGAAGAGGGTGACGTTCATGCAGCCCGCGCTGCCCCGCGACTTGCGGGTCTCGTGCACGCTGACCGACATGCTGGGCCACCTGCAG